GCATAATACATATAAATATATATCTATAATATAATACATATATTTTTATATAAAATATTATATATTGTACTATATATTACATAATACATATATTATATAGTTTACATATTATATATGTGTTAAATATTATAGAAGACATATTATATATTCTATATATAAAATAATATATATTATATATAATATTGGTAATACATATTTTATAAAAATATATTATATACAATATATAATGCAATGTGTAATATTATATATATATATAATGTTTCATATCTATAAAATACCTCTTCAGATGCTGACCTTCCTACATCTATGCTGTCATCTCCTTCTGGAATTCGTGGAAGATGTTTTAGATTGACTCACACTGTCCTCCGTGACTCTTTCCGATTTTCCACCTCTTTGTTATTTTGCGTTCTGGGAAGGATTTTCCTCACTTTTTGCTTGCACAGTTATACATTTTTAATGTTTTTGATCCATAATTTTTATGATATTAAGAGTGGAGCGTATTTCACAATATCTGATCTGCTCTACTTCTAGAAATAGAAATCTTTATCACAAGTTATAATTATAATTTTTTTTTTCCTGAGGAACATTAGCCCTGAGCTAACATCTGTGCCGATCTTTCTCTATTTGCTTCTGGGTTGCCACCAGTGCACGGCCGCCACCGTGTGGTGTAGGTCCACGCCGGGGATCCGAACCTGGGCCACTGAAGCAGAGAGTAGTGAACTTAACCACTAGGCCATGGGGCCGGCCCCTAAATTTGTTTTTTTTTTTTGTTTTTTTACCTGTTTTGTTTGTTTGTTTCTTCTTCTTTTTTTTTTTTTTGGTGAAGAAGATCAGCCCTGAGCTAACATCTGTTGCCAATCCTCCTCTTTTTGCTGAGGAAGATCGGCCCTGGGCTAACATCTGTGCCCATCTTCCTCTGCTTTATATGGGACACTGCCACAGCATGGCTTGACAAGTGGTGCGTCAGTGCACACCCAGGATCTGAACCCGCGAACCCCGGGCTGCCGAAGTGGAGCGCGCGCACTTAACCACTGCGCCACCTGGCGGGCCCTGATTGTTTGTTTCTCCCCTACTGGACAGAGAGGGCGGGGGTCCTCTCTGTTCTCCTTGTCATCGTGTACCTGGCCCCTGGCCCAATGCCCAGTCCATCACAGCAGCTCAATCAGTGTTAGCTGAATACACGAGTTACACCACACTGTTCCTCCTGTGGACATACAAGCATGCTGTAAACTGTAGAACATTTAAAAATTAAGTGATTCAGGAGGCCCCAGTGGAGCCTGGCTCTGAATATCTTGTTCCTGATTTGGGCTCTACGTGCGCGCACGCGTGTGTGTGTGTGTGTGTGTAAGACTGTGTGTGAACATCTATCTAACTCCTCCACTGTTGGGTCTGAGCTCAGCTTTCAGTCCATTTTACCCACTACTCTGAAATCCACGAACGTCATGCCCCCAGGCCAGCCGAGGTGACCTCTTTGGGGCCTCTACAAGCCAGCCCTAATGGCTCTGCCGGGATTGTGGCCTTCTGAGTGGAGCCAGGCTGAGAACTTGGAAGGACATGAAAGAGACCCAGGCTCAGAGAATATCTGAGACAGCACAAGCGATAAATCGTGAAGAGCTGTGTGCATGGCCACTCGTTTGAGCTCTTGACCTGGCAAACCTTTAACCAAGCAGAGCTGGAGGTGTCAGGTGACGTCAAAAAAAAATGATAGGACGGGCTTCACAAAGCATACCACACAACGCACGCACAAATTTCCCATTTTATCGATAATTTAAATTATATCTTGTATTTTTATAT